TTCCCATAAACACACTCCTAAACCTTGTGGACAGCCGTCCCAGAAGAGTTGAAGCTGTTCTAGCTGCAAAGGGTGGACCGATGTCATATTGAACCCTATGGATTAGGAACGGGATGTCACTTAAGCTCATATGTGAGTCAAGGCAGGTGAGCAAATACTTTTGGCAATATAGTGTATGTCTTGGTGTTTTAAGACTGCTTACTTCCATGTGCTGTCAGTGATGAGAGCAGCTCTGTTTTTGTAGGTCTACAGTTTTGTTCTGCTCTTCCGGTTTCCAGGCGATGGCTTAAACAGCGTTCTGTGAGATGTTCAAAGCGTGAGATTATTTTGTAATTGACAATAAACCTTCCCTCAGACCTGTCTGCTGTGTTCTTTAGTTTTATGATGCTGATTGTTAACTGATATTGCTGAAACTATTTTACATACAGAGCACTCTGTTTAATTGTTTGAACACTTCTAAAGGAGATTTTTTAAAATATCTCTTATTGTATTAAAGTAAATGACAGCTGGTAAAGTGTACCTTTTAGAGCTCGAAAACAAATCACAAAAGTCATAACTTTACTTCAGTTTTAGAAACGTGCTAGTTTTTGTCAATCTGTCACAAAAAAGCTATGAAAATAGTGTTTGTACTTTAAGATGTGCGGCCTTTGAAAATGCATGTTATTATAGGAGGATCAAAGACTTCCTGATAAACAGACATCCGTTTGTGAGACTGAAGGATCAACTGTCTAATTAGGAATTCAGCAGCATATGAGCACCACAGGGGATGGTACTCTTACTGTTCCTTTTTAATGCACTGCCATTCAATTCATTTATATACCGTATTTTCACGACTATAAGGCGCACCTAAACGTCTTTTTTTTCCCTCAAAATGTGGGGTGCGCCCTATGGTGCGGTGCGCCCTATCTGCGGACGTTGTTGAGACCACCATGAGTATGTGAGAACCTTAAAGGGGGAAGTGTGGGCGTGGCTTGTGTATAAAAGAACAGGTATGTGCTCTATGCAGAAAATTGTTGTCTTAACACATCCTGAAATTGGCAAAGAGACACGCCTATGAAGCCCAGTTTAAACTGAAGGCTATCAGCTACGCAGAGGAACATGGAAATCGAGCAGCTGCGAGAGAATTCAATATAAATGAATCGATGGTTCGCAAGTGGAGGAAGCTGGAAAACGAACTCCGACTGGTGAAGAAGACGCAGCTGAGTTTCCGCGGACATAAGGCGAGGTGGCCCGAGTTGGAGGAAAGACTCGAGCGGTGGATCGAGCAAAGAACGAGTGGGGCCAGCGTTTCAACGGTCACTGTTCGACTAAAAGCAGTAAAGCTGGCGGAAGAAATGAAAATTGAAAATTTTCAAGGAGGTCCATCGTGGTGCTTCCGTTTTATGAAACGGTGCAATTTTTCCATCCGGACCAGGACTACAGTTGCTCAGCGACGTCCGGCGGATTATGATGAAAAGCTGGCGAGCTTCCACTCCTTCTGCAGCAAACACATCGCTGACAAAATCATCCAGCCAAGCCACATCACCAACATAGACGAGGTGCCGCTCACTTTCGACATCCCGGTGAATCACACCGTGGAGAAGAAGGGGACCAGCACTGTAGCGATACACACAACGGGGTATGAAAAGGCGTCGTTTACTGTGTGCTTGGCTGCCACGCAAATGGACAGAAACTGCCGCCTATGGTGATTTTTAAAAGAAAGACTTTGCCTAAAGAGGCTTTCGCAAAAGCCGGCATCATTTCCAAGGAGCCGCCCGGCACGGAAAGTGACTCTGACAGCGAAGAAGAAGGGGAAACTGGCATGTCGGATTTAGCGCAGCTGTTTAATTCAGAAACAGAGGATGAGGACTTTGATGGGTTTGATTAATACTCTGTAATAAATACATGAATAAAGCACAATCATACTCAGTTTTGCTCCCGCTCTATTTTTCTACCTGAAAACTTAATTCAACACCAGCCTCTGGGCCGCAGCGCATCAGGGCTCACCTCGGCAGGTGTTTTTTCATCTAAATAATCTAAATCTTTTTGAGTGAGAAAGTCCACCTGAAAATGTAATCATTGCAGACAGTTCATCCAGATTATTATCCTGCCTATGTTTTAAGTTAATTTATGCGTCAATAAACTGTATCAGAGGAGTAATCGCAACCCTGTGTCATCAGCGATGTGTCTCTCACGGCAGGTTCCCAGGTTTGAATAATACTTTGTAATAAATACACCTTGCAGCTTTATTTGCTGTGATCAGTGGGAATAAAGTAGTTTTAATATGTTTTTAAGTGAGAAAATCCACCTGAGAGGACATGTACCTGTATATAAAAAACGCGCCCTATAGTCCGGTGCGCCTTATGTGTGTGTTAAATACAGAAATGGCACACATAACTGAGACTGCGCCTTTTAGTCCGGTGCGCCTTATGGTCATGAAAATACGGTAGCCCCAATTCACAACACATGTCATCTCAAGGCACTTTACAGTTCAACCAGATCATACAGTCAGTTTGGGTCAAAGTTTTCTATTTAAGTAAAACCAGCTGATTGCATCGACTAATTGACTCTTAAGCAATCCCTCACACCAAACATGCTTGTAGCGACAGTGGAGAGGAACAACACCTCTGTACAACTCTGACTCTGAGCACCAGGCAGAGTCCTGTCATCTAAAATAAACCTCAGATGATTGCAATCATCAAAGATGGACAAGGAGCTGAGTACAGGGAGCTGATGAACCACTTTGTGGCATGGTGTAGAAACAATCATCTGACCCTGAATGTTAACAAAACAAGGCAGATCATTGTAGATTTCAGAAGAAATAGGAGCAAGTTTAAACCTGTTAAACTTAAGGGAGAAGAAATAGAGGTGGTGGAAGAGTATACATACCTGAGGAAATAATTTCACAAAGAGGAGGTCTTCTTAAACTGAAGTGGAAGTGCAATAATCCAAGTGCAACTACGATGTAATTTTCCCTTAGCTCTCTGCTGCGCAGATATTTTTATAGACATCCCAAGTTCTCATTTCAGGGAGATTCTTATCGAACAACTGAATCAATAAAGTATTTTTATTTTATTGAATTGAATAAACGGTAGATCTGCATAGATTGATCATATCCAGGATCAATACTTTCAGAGATCATTTAAGAGGATCATAATAAGAAATGTTGGTTTCCATGTGATTAGGCTCATATAAAGAATAAAACTACAACAAAACACATCTTTCCCATGTTGCAGTTAATCTAGAAAGCATATAAAAAGTCCTTTGTGCTTATTGTTGAGATAAGTACACATTTGCCTGTCCTGAAATGCCACAGCTGTGTTTAGCCAACCTCAGCAAGTGGATCTTTAAAAGACACCACATGAGATGAGGCTGCTATTTTACAGCGCTTGCTGGCTCCCTTTAGGGTTTGTGGGACACTTTTCTTAGTTCCACTGTCTGGCTCTTCTTTCTGGATCGGAACCAAAGCGTTTTTAGCGAACAGGCACATCTGCGCTTACAGCTGGAAAACTGAAACAATCACAGAAGATTGGATGTGATTGTCAACAATTGAGTGGTTATTATATATGGTTTTGTTTTAGTCTTTGATGGTTTTATTTCCAACAAAACTCCTAATATTAGTTCCAACTTTGAAAAGCCAACAGGTGGTGGTTTGCAATTTTCATTCTTCAGTGACACCAAACCACTTGGCTATTAATCCCATTGAGTTCACTGAGGCACAGACACATCGCAGCCTCTCTAATTAAGATCTAACCACAGTTCCCATGACTGGTCTGCTACACAACTCCGGTGGGGGGAACTCCAGCGATTTACGGGAAGAATCATAAAACTATAAACCAGGCTATACCAGGAAATACGGGTCTGAACCTACACTTAGTGACTCCATCGTCAGCTAATATAACTACAGAAGTGAACTTACTCATCCTCTTAGCTGGGCTGCTTTATGGGCCATAAAGGATCACTGGGATTTCATCAGCACAGATTCCTGTGAAGTGTTCAGATGACTAATTACCCATGGAAAAGATCCGGGTGTAAATTAGATCATCAATATCTGGCAGATGGAGGAGTACAAGTCATCCCTAATAATCAGAGGAAGGGTGTTATACATAATAGAGCTACTGTAGTGGTGAGAAGGGTGAGGAGAACTTCATTTTCAGCTGTTTCCTGACTCTGCATCATTACCTATTAATCCTAACATGCAAACACGTATCAGTCGGAGGTTTCAGGCAATTAACTGCCAGTGGTCTCTGTCTGAGCTGCAATGTTGAATAAACACTTGCTGCCGAGGTCAAAGTGAAAATAAGAGACGGAAAAAAGTCAGAGTGCAACATTTTAGTTTCAAGTTTCAGATGGTTGGATTGTAAACTGCCAGCTGAGTCACAACATCTCTGAACATCCTGACTCAGTTTAGCCCATGCAGGGAATGTGCTGCTTTAAATGATCAGTCCACCAATTTAAACACACCAACATCTGTCCTTTGAGGCATTTCAAGGGAGTTGTGAAAAAAAACTTGAAGTCATTTTAGAAAAAAAATCAAAGTAAAACCTAAATGAGAGTTTTATTCTCCTTAAACTTCCATCCGAGGTCTACATAAATCATAGGAAATTACTCATCTGTGTAAAGTCATTGGAAAGGAAAGAACACCCTAATTTTATTTCAGGGTTTTTTTATGATCTGGACTTTTTTTTTTTTTTATATAAACCTTCAATTTACAAAAACACATCAGCTTTGCGCTGTCATTTATACATTGGCTGCAATAAGATGCTAACACTATGGAAATCCACTGCATTTAGACATGTAAGGATTTTATAGGTTTTAAAGAGGCCTGTATTTGTTTGTTTTTTATAAATCTCTTTCTTTTTGATTTGGCTGCTGCTTCAGTAATGATGCATTTTTGCGATATTAATCTGTTAAACATTTACTTTCCACTAACTCTTAAAGACATACCTGTTAAATTGTAGTTTTCTGTACCAGCTGGGGCTTTTATCTTTCCTGATCATTCTGGTTTCTGTTTTCCACAGAGATGTGCTGATGACTGACCAAGCTACACTTTGGAGTAAATGAGACAAGCTTACGTCTGCAGAAGATGCCCTTCACTGCTCATTTGCCAAGTTTGGAGGACGCTATGGAAGATTGTGCCTACAGTGGATTGTTAAGGTTGTTCTGAGATCGGTGGTTTTATCAGCAGGGTCTCTTGGCAGCAGAGGGGGCTGTTATGTGGCCCCCTGACCTCGGCCCTCCAGACGTGCAGCTCACTCTTCCCAGTTTTGGGAGTGTGTTCGAGGATGCCGAGGAGCTTCAGGCGCCGCTATCCTTCGGGGGCCTCTGCCAGTCCTCGCTACATTCAGGAGGACTGTGCTCTCTTCCTAGGACCTCGCTGGGATGCAACCCCAATTCTCTGCCTATATGTAAGACAGTCGGACACCACTTAGAAAAGACAGTGGAGGATTTTGTCATTACGGGTCAAACAGACCTGAAAACCAACACTCAGAGGGTCAGCTGCTACCCTCAGCCCTCCCTTCCCATCCCCTACCTACTGACCAGTTGTGCCCAGTCTCCATCTTTCGAATCGCTACCTTCATCCCTTTCCTCTTCTTCATCGCCCTCAGTTCTTACTTCACACATGCCTTATTCTGATTATCATCGCAAAGTGTCTTCTCAAGAAAGTAATCTACATGATGATTACTGTTCAATTAAACAAGAACCTTCAGACGATTTCTCACCATGTAAAAGGGAACCGTTTAATGTAAGCAATCAGCAGGGGGAGCTTTTCCGTCCAGGCCAGCATCCGCAGGGTAACAATGCTCAGGATATAAGGCAGTCCCCTCTTCACTCCCCCAGCCTCAGTAGACTAGCAGGACAAGACCGGGCGTTGGACCAGCAGGAGCAGTCATGTCATTGGATCGACTGCAGTGCCACGTACGGCAGCCAGGAGGAGCTGGTGAGGCACATTGAAAAAGTGCACATTGATCAGCGTAAAGGGGAGGAGTTTGCATGTTTCTGGACTGGCTGTGTCAGACGGAACAAACCCTTCAACGCTCGCTATAAGCTGCTCATCCACATGAGGGTCCATTCTGGAGAAAAACCCAATAAGTGCATGGTGAGTTGACTATAATAATAATAATGTCTATTAAACTGTTAACTGGTCATGCTCCCTCTGCTGGAGGTACAGAATGTGGTGCCCCCAAATTTGAAACCTCATATTGCCATGATAAGGCCACTGTCTGCCATTGCATCAGTTTTATAGGACAGGCTAGACCCTTTCAATGGTGAATGAACAGATACTGAATTAATCCATGGTTTTTCTGTTGTTTCAATATCTTTTTTGGGGATTTTGGTGTGGCCAGTTAATAGTTAACACGTGGGAAGTTTAATTTTGTATTTTAAAAGCATTTTGTTTATGGTCAAACATTTTACCTTTTATAGTATTATGTTTTAATGTTTTCTTCTTCTTTGTTGTTGTATTTCAATTCAGTTCATTTATATAGCTTCAATTTATAACACATGTCATCTCAAAGCATTTTACAGTGACAACACGGTCAGATTGGTTAAAAGTTTCTGTCAAGGACAAACCAGTTGCATCCAGTCATCGACTTCCTAGAAAGGCTCTCCTGGATGAACTTTGGCCAAGATTTTCCCTTGCATTTTGTCTTTGACTCTTCAGAAATCTTTCACACTGGGAAATGATCAGAAAAGATTGACCCAGATTCAAACCAGACAACCAGTGTAAAAGTTTAACACAGTTTATTGAAACAACAACCACTGCAGGTGGTGTCAGCGACTAGGGCAGGAACCACTGGAAACGAAAACTATTGACCATCTAGCTTTACGACATCCTGTAATCACCAAGGTAATAGTCAGTAACCTTCTCCTAGTCCTCAATCTTGGGAAGAACTACTAGGTTAAGTTTGAGCCGATTAACAGTAGCGCTGATGTTGCTATCACTGCTTTGCAAGTCCTAGAGAATAACTCCGTGGTCAGGCAGAGGGTCAGAACTGTGAAGACAATAGTAGGCAGGAGGAAAAGGAGCACAAACCAAAATCTGTAATCGTGAGCAAAGTCCAGGATCAGAGGCAGGTGATCAGAAGTCCAATGAGGCACCAGAGGGAAATCCAAGATAAGGTTGAGAAACAGTTCCAGGTTAGGCAACGGGCAGGCAGACAAACAAACGATCAGGGTCAGGCAGAACAGGCAGACAATCAGGTTAGACAGGGATCAGGCAGGTTCAGAAACAGGGACAGGTCAGGTCAGGTAAAGAGGCAGGAGGACAGGAAACAGAACGCTGGAATAGATCTCACCAATGGCTCAAAATAATCTGGCACTGATGTTTGGTCTAAAGGCTGGTTATATATTGATAGGTGCAGATAGTTCAGATGAATAGAAGTGAGAATGGGGCAGAGCTGAGCATGTGTGTCTTGTGAGACACTGACACACTGACTTAGACAACTTTTATTGTCATACTGTATATATAGAGGGTATACAAACTGAAATTTCATTTGTACAGTTTATGAACATTTTCATTCCATAAAGTGCAGCAGTGATCAAATGTAAACAGTGCGGGAGGACGAAGATCAGAAAAAAAATTAAGTAGTAAAAAGCAGAGGTGGGAGATTCAAGTTATCTCTACATCATGTTTTTTGTTGTACCCACCCACTGAACCAGGTAGCCCAATCTGCACAGTGAATAAAATTGTGCAGAACTAAAATATTTTAAACATTTTAAAAAATCCTTCTCTTCTCCAACCAGTACATCAATGTATCATGAGTGGATTGATGTGTCATGGGCAGCCAGGGGGGCCTCTAGGAGTCAGTTAGCGAAGGGCAGCATAGAAGGACGACGGCTTGTAGACACATTAGTAGCACCTGAAGCTTGATGGAGGTCATGGTCATTGGATGTAATGGGTATGTGAAGACAACTCACAAACAGATCTCATAATTTGTACCTTTACGTCAGGTCACTTTAAGAAGCTAACAGCGCTTGACTGGTCTGAACCTGCTTTCAGTGGGTCTAGATTTGTGTCAGACTGATCAGACTGTCTCTCAGACATGCAGATGATCAAACAGTTTCCTTTGCATGTATGAGTAAGGGAAACATGCAGAAGAAACAGGGCTGTGTTGACTGAATGCATGAATGCAGGATGTGTCTGTAGGACTAAAACAGTCAGGAACGCACAGATCAGCTGTTGTTACTAATGAAAAGACACAGCCAAAATTAGGGTTATTACACTGACATAATGCAGTAACTTTTTAAGCTCTGGTATAACACAGCCTTAGAAAACAGCAATTTATACGATGCAAAAAATTGAGCATGTTCTTTGATTCAAGCAGAGTATTCAGATTCAATATCTTGTTTATATTCAAGGCGAAGCAACTTGCAAAAGTTTAATACATTTTGTGTAATAGATGCTTTTAAACTTTTGCTATATTTTATCATTTCATTTGTAATTTATATTGTCTCCTTCAGAAAAAATACATCTTAAAAAAGCTCAATACTCTCAAAGAGGTGCTGCTGTGTTGGTGTTTTAGCTGATAATGGCATTTTGAAATAATATTTATAATCTATTTAATCCATATGAATAAAACATGCTTATCTGCTAACATAGACAGTATTTATTTATTTATTAGGTTGTTGCCATAATGTTCCACTTGGTAATTATCTGTGAAACTTTATTAGAAATGGTTTATTTAATACAACTGTATGCCAAAGACACAGAGACAAAAAGGGAGATGAGAAGGGGAGAGGGGATAAGAATTAAGGTGAGAGAGAAAGACGAAAACAAGAAAGAAGAAAACAACACAACAAAAAAAAAAACAGTAAATATACAACAGCTCCTATAACTCTGCTTCTACAAGTGCATGAGGCGCAAAGAGGTAAAGAAAATAGAAAAAAAAACTACAACAAAAAAAACATACATATAACATACTAGCCAACAGAATGAGCAAGTATCCCATAGACAGTCAGCACATGTATATGTAGTTAAAAAAAAACATATGATGATGAGACACTGTGGTTAGTTGTATATATCAGTAGCTTCAGCTTTGTATTTACTATTAGTGTGTATACAGTATATGGACACCTAGAACCAAACAGATGGTGTATATATGCATATACATACACTATATTGCCAAAAGTATTTGCTCACCTGCCTTGACTCACATATGAGCTTAAGTGACATCCCGTTCCTAATCCATAGGGTTCAATATGACGTCGGTCCACCCTTTGCAGCTAGAACAGCTTCAACTCTTCTGGGACGGCTGTCCACAAGGTTTAGGAGTGTGTTTATGGGAATTTTTGACCATTCTTCCAGAAGCGCATTTGTGAGGTCGCACACTGATGTTGGACGAGAAGGCCTGGCTCTCAGTCTCCGCTCTAATTCATCCCAAAGGTGTTCTATCGGGTTGAGGTCAGGACTCTGTGCAGGCCAGTCAAGTTCATCCACACCAGACTCTGTCATCCATGTCTTTATGGACCTTGCTTTGTGCACTGGTGCACAGTCATGTTGGAAGAGGAAGGGGCCAGCTCCAAACTGTTCCCACAAAGTTGGGAGCATGGAATTGTCCAAAATGTCTTGGTATGCTGAAGCATTCAGAGTTCCTTTCACTGGAACTAAGGGGCCAAGCCCAGCTCCTGAAAAACAACCCCACACCATAATCCCCCCTCCACCAAACTTTACACTTGGCACAATGCAGTCAGACAAGTACCGTTCTCCTGGCAACCGCCAAACCCAGACCCGTCCATCAGATTGCCAGATGGAGAAGCGCGATTCGTCACTCCAGAGAACGCGTCTCCACTGCTCTAGAGTCCAGTGGCGGCGTGCTTTACACCACCGCATCCGACGCTTTGCATTGCACTTGGTGATGTATGGCTTGGATGCAGCTGCTCGACCATGGAAACCCATTCCATGAAGCTCTCTGCGCACTGTTCTTGAGCTAATCTGAAGGCCACATGAAGTTTGGAGGTCTGTAGTGATTGACTCTGCAGAAAGTTGGCGACCTCTTCGCACTATGCGCGTCAGCATCCGCTGACCCCGCTCCGTCAGTTTACGTGGCCTACCACTTCGTGGCTGAGTTGCTGTCGTTCCCAAACACTTCCATTTTCTTATAATACAGCTGACAGTTGACTGTGGAATATTTAGGAGCGAGGAAATTTCACGACTGGATTTGTTGCACAGGTGGCATCCTATCACAGTTCCATGCTGGAATTCACTGAGCTCCTGAGAGCGACCCATTCTTTCACAAATGTTTGTAAAAACAGTCTGCATGCCTAGGTGCTTGAATTTATACACCTGTGGCCATGGAAGTGATTGGAACACCTGATTCCAATAATTTGGATGGGTGAGCAAATACTTTTGGCAATATAGTGTATGTGTATGATGGTTTTGCAAGGCTACTTGAGAGTTTACTCAATAGCAGGTGTGGGTGGCCTCTGATCTGCTCTGCCCCAGATATCCAAAGGGAACCCCAGACTACAGGGACACAAGGAGCACAATTCCTATCAATTCAATTTAATTTTTTTCTATTATGCCAAGCTCATCTAAAGCTCATGTTAGGTTTATTATTTATACATCATGTGCATTGTTATTCTGTTAGCCAGATTAGACAGAGTAGAGGGCCTTCCTTCACATTGTGGATGTCACTTTGTGTATGGAAGCCATCTAATCAGGACAGCCTTCGTGTCTTTAAAAGTACACAGGATATGAGCACATCCTGGAGCCGGTCTGATAGAGGGGAGCTATCTGTAACCCTGAGGCATAGAAGCAAGCTGCATATGGGTCAGGGCATTGATGGCGTGTCAGTTTCTGATACGGACAGCTAAGCATCCACATGATGCAGCACATAGACTCATAAGGTATAAGAAGCAGGAGATGACCTTGTTCGAGGCTCAATTTTTGCCGGACGCTCGCGGACGTGATTTTTGAGCCAACAGCTGTGCAATCTCCAAGTATTTTCTCTGTCCTGTAACGACCTGATCTGGAATAAACTCTGTTATTTTTTACTCCTGTTTTTATAGTCCTTTTTATATGGTTTTACCCAGTTTGAGTTAAGAGTAGTAAATAACTTGCTCCCAGGAAAAGGACCGTGAGGAAGCCCCCCGAGGCGC